CCCCAGTTTGAGAACTACTGCTGTACAGTACATATATGTCCATCCATACTCTTCTGCTTATCCGGGGTTGGGTCATGGGGGTAGCAGCCTAAGTAGGGAGACCCAGACTTCCCTCTCCCCAGCCACTTGGGCCAGCTCCTCCGGGGGAAACCCGAGATGTTCCCAGGCCAGCCGAGAAACATAGTCCCTCCAGCGTGTCCTGGGTCTTCCTCTGGGTCTCCTTCCGGTGGGACGTCCAGGAGGCATCCTAACCACAGATGAGGGTAGGAACGTAGATCAACCGGTAAATTGAGAGCTTCGTCTTTTGACTCAGCTCTCTCTTCACCACGACAAACCGGTACAGCGCCCGCTTCACTGCAGACGCTGCACCTATCCGCCTATCGATCTCACGCTCCATTTTTTTCTCATTCGTGAACAAGACCCAGAGATACTTAAACTCCTCCACTTGGGGCAGGACCTCTTCCCCGACCCGGAGAGGGCATTCAACCCTTTTCCGGCTCAAGACCATGGCCTCGGATTTGGAGGAACTGATCCTCATTCTGGCTGTGTCACACTCTGCTGCAAACCGCTCCAGCGAAAGCTGAAGATCATGACCTGATGAATCCAATAGGACCACATCATCTGTAAAAAACAGAGACGCGACCCCAAGGCCATCAAAACGGATCCCCTCAACACCTTGGCTGCACCTAGAAATTCTATCCATAATAGTTATGAACAGAATCGTGACAAAGGACAACCTTGGCAGAGTCAAACTCTCACTGGGAACGAGCCTGACTTACTGCCGGCAATGCGGACCAAGCTCTGACACCGGTCGTACAGGGGCCTAACAGCCCGTACATATATGTATGTTGTTAAAATAACGTAGATTTAAGAGTTTAGAACATTGCAAGAGTGTGGGAAGGGTTTATAAAGCCTTGAAGTATAAATACCAACATAAATATAGTGTTGCTAATTGGCGGTTTAGCACCAATCGCGGTGGTGTCTGGAACGCAACTCCCCGCAATAATCGAGGAACTACTGTATCTCTCCAGTATATAAATACACATAGATACGGTACATAAAAAGTCTAGACATTCTGTGTGTAATAAACCCTTAAAGGAAGAAAAATGACTTTCGCAAATATTTATTTGAACTAACGTTAAGCTTTGTGACTGAAGAGGTATTTGTGCTTATATATTGTTATATTGTTGTTTTTCTTTCAGGGGCGTACCAATGGATTTAATTTAATCAGTTGTATAGTGTACCAAAATCAGTGTCTGTCTTTGGGGATAGTAAAATCTAGATTTTCTGAGATATATTTCCTTGGCAAAGCAGTTAGCTGTGGGCAGAGGAACAACAGACCCTGAGGGGAAGCCCATCCTTTCTGCTCTCCCTTCTGTTCAAAACAGCCACTGCAGACCCTCAGACCACTGCCTAACAAGTCCGACTTGCCAAGAGAGGCTGTCGAGCAGCAAACCTGCAGCTTGCATCGTTTCGTTTCCTGGCAGGAGATAACGAACATAGATGTGAGGTTAACTGATTAAAGCCACATGGCAGAAATCATCTTCAAACTGACCCTGCATCTGCGTTTACAGGCGTCATCTATTGGTTCTTTTTTTCCTAGGCAATGTGTGATCAGTGTAGTTTGACTACAAGCTCTAATTCACAAATTTATTTAAAATGCACGTTGTTCTATATTGATGGCAAAGTGGCTTTAGCAGAGGTGTTCTCTAATATTCATATCACCATCTAACTTGATAACATATTTCTTCTTCCAGTGAGATGTTTCACATTTCACATTGAGGATTTACAGAAAGACAGCTACTTTATATAAAACTATCAAAACCAATGTGAAGAAACTTGTGTTTGTCACCATTATTAGGATCCTCTGAGAATATGACGTACAGAGGAGTCTGTTCCAGCTGCAGGCTTTAGTTTTCTTTAAAGATCCACTAATTACAGTTTGTTTGTTTTTTTGACTGATTCTGATTTCAGAAAAGCTCTGACCTACAACACTGATTTTAACTGGTGCCCAGGGGTTGACATAAGTGGTTTTGTATGAGACAACCTATTTTTGTCTCGTACTACCTAATCTCACCTCGAGGTTGTCAAATGAAAATAGACATGGATTAAAGTTCTCTGTTGCTGCGACAGATTTCCATCACCTGTAAAAATGAAGGGGAAACATGTTTTCAATCGTCTCAATTTGGGCAGGACAGTTCTGGATTTTGTCCACCCTGTCCTGCGTCCTGCATGAGGAGGGTCAGGACACCAAAATGTCCCACATTTGATGAGCTGGCTGGGCTCACCTGTCCATGCCAGGTCTGTGTGGGAGGAGGAATACAGACGGGCTGATTCACCTGCAACAACAGGAGTCAAGTTGCAACTTTAGCTTTTTGAAATATTTAGCCTTTTCTGCCATTTTTTTTTCCTCATAGAAAAAGAATTGAGTTCATTTTATTTCCTTCAAATCTTTAGATCTGTTTACAACCTTTTACTGCTCCTTTCTCATTTTGTTGGGTTTCAGCTTCTTTCAGCTTTTGTGCAAATTTAAAAAACTTTATTTCAGCTACTTTCAGCTAATTTCAGCTGTTTTGTGCTCCTTTCTGATTCTTTCTGCCAACTACATTTTTGTGCTGCTTCTAACTTATTTTTGTTTATTTAAGCTCATTCTGCTCCTTTCAGCTTTTTCTACTATTTCAGCTACTATTTAGAACTTTTTATGCCAATTTGTTTTTTCAGCTTATTCCACATTTTTTGCATTAATTTAAACTTTTTTCAGCCTAATTCAGCAAAAATATGCTCTCTCCACCTCATTCTGGTAATTTAAGCTTCTTTCTGCTTTTTCAGCTACTTTTCACCAGTTTTTTTTTTGATAATTTCAAAAAAAAAAAAAAAAATTAAAGCTAATTTCATAATTTCTGCCTATTTAAACCTAATTCAGCAAATATGTGTTTTTTCAGCTTTCTTCTACTATTTTAGCTTGTGCTTCCATTTCAGTTAAAATTCAGCACGTTTTTTTTTTTAGCTAATTTCAGCTGTTTTTCATGAAGTTCTTCAGCAATAAGCATTCACACTGAATTTTTGCAGGAAATGCAATTTATCTAGTTTAAAAAATAATAATAAATAAAATAAAAATAAATGTATTTATGAATGTTTCTGTTCAGTGTCCTGAGATGACTCCTGTTGTGACTTGGTGTTATATAAACTGAATTGAACTGAATTGTTAAAGTTGTTTATTAATTGATTCAGCCATCATCCATGATAATTAAGTTGATATTTTTTTCTTATTGGATTAAATATTTGCTTGGGGGGTTGTTTGTGTGAGTGCTTGTATTGGTGGGTAGTTTAAATGTCTACTGGTTTACAGTAAAAGTATCTTTAGTAACTGTGGACATCATTAGTGGTCTCAGATAAGATGTTTGTAGGGAAGCTTGTATTTTCTATTTGTTTGTGTACGTGTTGGAGAGTGGGGCGAATGAGTGGAGCTAAGTGTACCAGCCAAGGTAAAAATTGTCCAGTTCTGGTCACAAGCTGATGAACTGGTCTGGCACGTCCCTATTTTTCTCTCTCGGCCATTTTAAATGAAAAGAATCAAATGTAGCGAGCACACCCGTGACGAAGATCTGTGAACCTGAACGTGTTCTTGAACATGTGTGTTTGTGTATGTAGTGACGTGAGACGATGATGCAGGGGAAAGACCGATGGAGTTAGGAACCTGTGTCTGTACTTGCTTTCCTTACTTGAGCCCTCCGGAGGGGACAGTGTGGCACTTCTTGTGCTCCAGCAGCTGCTCGGGCGTCTTGAGGAACTTGTGGCAAACGTCGCACTCAAACATTCGCGTGATGAGGTGGATCTGAAGGTGGCGTTCGTACATGCTGCGTGTCTTGCACACGAAGTTGCAGAATACGCACTCAAAATCTGAAGAGAGTGGAACAAGAGGGGAGAGCCAGTTCAGACTGGGTTTAGAAGCTGGATCTTTTCTGAAATGGTTCTGGGGTGGAAGAAGTAGCACAGCTGCTGCAGGAAAAATAAAAAAACCTTACAACTGTAGATAGAAGTTTCCATCCATCCATCCATCCATCCAATCATCCATCCATCCATTCAACCACTCATCCATCCATCCATCCAACCACTCATCATCCATCCAACCACTCATCCACCCATTATCCACTCATCCATCCAACCACTCATCCACCCATCCATCATCCACTCATCCACTCATCCATCCATCCATCCATCCATCCATCCATCCATCCATCCATCCATCCACCTATCTACTAATCCATCCATCCACTCATCCATCCATCCACCCATCTATCTACTCATCCATCCATCCATCCATCCATCAATCCAGTTATCCATCCATCCATTATATTTTACCCACTTCTTCCTTTTTGGATCACCAGGGTCACTGGTGCCCATATCCAGCAAACACTGTGCGAGAGGCGGGGGACACCCTGGACTAGTCTCCAGTCCATCACAGGGACACAGAGACAAACGAGACAAACAACCATTCACTCTCTCACTCACACCTAAGGACAATTTAGAGTTACCAATCAGACTAACATGCATGTTTTTGGTCTGTGGGAGGAAACTGGAGTACCTGGAGAAAACCCACGTATGCACGGAGAGAACATGCAAACTCCACCCAGAAAGCAACAAAGTCCATGCTCAATAATCCAGGTATACAATCCAACAATTTTCAGTGAGGTCATCTGGACAGTTTCTTTTTTTTCCCATCCAGAAAAGTCCCCGGCTGGGATTCAGTCTGGCAACCTGTTCGCTGAGAGGCAAGCTCTCTATTAACTGAGCCACCGTGCCGCCCATCCACTTATCATGAGCATAAATAACAGTAGCTGTATTTTGTTTTATTATTATTTCAATTACTTAATTGAAAAACATTTTCCCCACCTGACAGCTGATTTTGGGATGATTTAATCGTTTACAGTATACAACTTTAAAGATAAAAAAAAAAAACAAGAACAGATTTAACAAGTTTGAATGTATTAATTATTTTCTCTGCATAGGATCAAAATTATGCTTTTATTATTAATATTTTCATACTTTTAAAATCTGGCCCCAAACAACTCTACTAGCATTTTGCCAAGGCCTAATTTTGCACAGATTAAACAGTCCCACCAAACGTTTGAAACAGAGACCTTATATCTCATGACTTAAAATAAACTTAATCTGAATGTTCAGATCTGAGCACCACATGAAGTTTCTTTATAAAAGAAAAAACGTAATTAGGTAATCATAATTAGCTTGGGTCGAGTCACAAACAGAAATATGTAAATAAAATGAACATCTAATCCTGTCATTTCTGAATCATCATTAGTGTTAAGTGACTTTTCCAGGTTTTATGTGATCATATCTCATCTTATGGTATCGGAGAACTGCCCTAAGTATTTACCGGTAATCTTGTTTATGTTAACAATCAATCATGAACTCTGAATTTTCTGTCAAAGTTTTCACATAACATTTCTTTTTATCTGCGCTTTCCTGACTGGTTCAAATATGACAACAAGAATTTGGAAAAAGACTGTATAGTTTAAAATCCTAAAGTGCACTATTGTTTGACCACTAATTTAAACCTGACTAACGCTCTTCTGAACTGGATCCATTTTAAACGTTAAAGAATCAATAAATAATACCTTGAAATGTTTTTAAACTTTTGTGGCTTGCGCCATCACTAATATTTGATGTCGAAGAGAAAAGTTTAAACCTGGAAGCCAAGATTTTAAGAACCTTGAGATGATAAAGGGTGTCTGGTTGCTAACTGTTCCTTGCCTTTGTCCGACTTGTCCTCAGGTCCTGATCCTGAGTGACTTCCGGAGCTGGTATGACTGCCTGCGGAGGATGGTGGGGCTAGTAGGTTCTTGAGTTCTTCGTTACCGTGGGCGAGGTCTCCTCCCTCTGAACTGTTGAGCGAATCGCTGAGGGCTGAGAGAGATGATGAGGTGCTCTTGGTCTCACTGAGGGGACTTCTTGAGTTCAAACCTGGACACAAGAGATAAAGCAGCAGAAAAATACATCAACAATATTGTCAGGGACTTTTGGTCAAGGTTTATGGATTTTTTTAAAACTACTATGAATGAGAATGTTAACTGCCCATGAATCATATGTTTGAGGTAGCAGAGAGTTATTTTCTCTCTCAGAGAGAGTTGAATGAGGAGCTGATTTGATCCTGCATGTGCAGCTGGATGGCCAAGGTCATCAGTGTCTGCCTGTGAGCTGTGAGAGCTGATAAGCCTATAAAAACAAGTCTTGCATGCTGCCCGTGGCAGATTCTCATGACTGGGCTCCATGCATGTAGAACTTCTGTACATCTGTGTAATCTGTTGTGAAAAGTCTGCCCTCGCAAGTAAAACCAGTAAAAAAACTTCTCGTGTCCTCGAGTGTGGCTTCTTTGAGTATGTAAAATGAACAGATGACATTTTTCTCCAACACAATATGAGAAAAAAGTAGTGACGGTAGGCATGCACATAAACTTAAATTCTCCATCAATCCATAATCTTTACCCGCTTCTTCCTTTTCGGGTTGCGGGGGTCACTGGTGCCAATGTCCAACCGTCACTGTGCAAGAGGCGGGAGACACCCTGGACAGGTCTCCAGTCCATCACAGCGACTCAATGCTCAATACACAGAAATATTTTAAGCTGATTTTCAAAAACTCCCAGCTGTTTCATGCTTTGAAAATCGATTTCTGGTTCCTGCCTTTGTCATCTCAAGTCAAGTTCAAGTCAACTTTATTGTCATTACCATCACATGTGGTGCATGAGGTGGAACTAAATCATGTACACAGGGTCCCAGTTACACCCAAAAATAGCAAAATATAAAGTATAAAAGAAACAGTATATAAGAATCTAAGATCTACACTAAGATATTCGCTAAAAGATCCAAGATAAACGCTAAGATACTGTATACTCTTAACACTAATAATGTAAAATACGGCGTAACAATGTACATGTACACCCCAACGTTCATACAGACAGAATGAAAGCAGCCAGCCTGAACTGAAAGCTCCCGCTGCAAGTCCAATCAAGATGCAGTGTGTTTTTATTGATCCTCTCCTCTAAGTCCACAATTCACTGCAAAGAGACAGAGAATTAGGAAGGGGAGGGGCCAGTATGGACGGTCGAAGAGCACGGGTCATGTCTGAAAGATCTAAGATGGCGGGAACGTCTCAGGGCACAGCTCAACAAAGGGCATTCACTCAGGAGGGAGTGAATGGAGGAAGAAAAGGCCTTCATGGGTCTTGAAATGGTTGACCTATCTTTTTAATACATGCACACACAAACAGGAGAAAGCCTGTACAAATGCAGTGGGTCTGCCCTTTCAGACAGGGAAATTATTTTGAAATGGAAAATGAATAAATCAATCAAATCTTGTACCAGAGCTGCTCACAACAAGATCTTTGCAGCTTTTTAAATAAAGAAATTAACTTTGAACTTTGCTGCCGAGTTTATCATCTCTTTGCCTTCTTACATGTCCTAAAGGAGACCGGCAAAACAAAAAGGCTGGAAAAAAATACGAAACACGTCTCTGACCCAGTGCACTTCGTGTTAAAACACACTTTTAGCCAAACAACTTTCTTTGTGACATTTTTGATATTATGAAGAGAAAAAAAAAAAACTAGAGAAATTGCATTTCCTGCAAAAATGAAGTGTGAATGCTTATTGCTGAAGAACTTGCTTAATAAACAGCTGAAATTAGCTTAAAACATGCTGAAATGTGGCTGAAATGGAAGAACAAGCCTAAATTAGTAGAAGACAGCAGTAAGAACACATATTTGCTGAACTAGGTTTCAATAAGCAGAAATGAGCACAAAAAATATGAAATAAGCTAAAAAATTGCTGAAGAGTAGCTGAAAAGGCAGACATGAGCTTAAACTACCAGAAGGAAGTGGAAGGAGCTGAAATGAGCTTAAAAAAAAGTGGAATTAGCTTAAAAAGCTAAATTTAGCACAAAACAGGTAAAAAGTAGTTGAAATAGCAGAAAAAGCTGAACCTAGCAGAAAAAAAGCTGAAAGGAGCATAACAAGCTAAAATTAGCAGAAAGAAGTTAATTAGGCTGAAAGTAGCAGAAATTACCAAGAAAAACTTGAATTTATCTGAAAACAGCTGAAATTAGCTAAAAACATCCTAAAATGGTAGCTGAAAAGGTAGAACAAGCTTAACTTAGCATAAGAAAGCAGAAAGAACACGTTTGCCCAATTTGGCTGAAAGAAGCAAAAATTTGCACAAAAAGTGGAAATTATCAGGAAAAAAGTTGAATTTAGCAAAAAAACAGCTGAAAAGTAGCTAAAAAAGCAGAAAGTAGCTGAAATTACCAGAAGGAAGTAGAGAGCACAATTTTGCTGAATTAGGCTGAAAAAAATCTGAAATTATTGCAAAAATGTGGAATTAGCTGAAAAAGCTAAAAATAGCATAAAACATATAAATAGTAGCCGAAATATCAGAAAAAGCTGAAACTTGCAGAAATTAGCTGAAAGGAGCAGAATAAGCTGAAATTAGCAAAAAGTTAGAAGAAGCACAAAAATGTTGTAGTTAGCAGAAAGTCTGAAAGGAGCACTAAACAGCTGAAAGTAGCTGAAAAAACATTTAAATCTGCACAAGAAAGCTGAACTCTAATAAATGTGAAAGGAGCATTAAAAGGTTGTAAACAGATCTAAAGATTTGAAGGGTGTAAAATGAGCTCAATTCATTGCCTTTGAGGAAAAAAATGGCAGAAAAATCTAAATATTTCAAAAAGTTAAAGTTGCACCAATACCAAAAGTCATAGCAGGATTGTCCTGAAAGAGCTGAACGTTTTGATTTATGATTTGCTGAAACAGCTTCAAAACTATGGGACGAGAATCATGCCGGAAAACGTATGGAGGAAAAATGGCTCATTTGGGTAATAGATCATTGATCTATTATTTGGTTTCTCACCTCCACCCTCATCTGTTTGGGCGTGTACACGCCTCCACACTAGGTGGAACTTTAAGGACTACCCTCAACACAAAATGATCTGGACCACTCATTAAGGCAGCATAACGATTTGTGAACTATCACTTCTCTACATTTAAACGTTTGGTTGGGGCGTCCATGTTGTGGGAGATGAAGATAAATGCCACACCAGGCTGAGAGACTTGAAAGTTGGCCACAGTGGTGTCGTAAACCCAGCCTAGCTCCAAAGGACCCAAGGCCTATTGATTGCCCGCCCCCCCTCCCTCAGGCACGATAAGGGCTAACCTTCTCAGATAAACAAGGCCACCATGGCCTTTGAAAGACCCTTCAGCTGTCTGGGCTGGATGATCCCACCCACTGACGCAACCACACACACAAAGAAACGAGGAAAAGCAGAAAAACGAGTACTTGTTAGGTTCAGTGGAAGAGGAAAAACATCAGCAATAAACTGAACAAAGAGGTTTTAGACAAAACGCTGATATCGACAACTGAGAACTCAAAGCCTGTCGATTAGAGGTTTGTGAAACTCAGTTCTGCTGCTTGGCCCTGCATCCTCGAAACCGACCTCGAACTTTATGTTTATAATTTTCCTGTTTTTCCTCACGTTTCATGCTGATTTTCTTTAATGAAAAAACCCCACAAAAAGCCAACAACAGTATTTTGAACATATATGAGCCGCGGGTGTTCACGTTGTAACATGAGTGGCAGCACGCAGGTACTGAGAGATGTACAGCTCTTGTTGTAGATCAAGAATCAGCCACCAGATGGAGTTTTATACACTTAGTTTTACTGTTGAACACAGAGTGAACCAAACAGGTTGTCATGACAACTAAGGTATTTTCTGCCCTATAAGTTGCATTTTTTTGCATAATTTACATGCCCTGCGACATACGCAGAAGCGACGTATTTATGGATTTTTCCCATATTTATAAACCAATTGTTGGCTGAGATATGACGGTTTTCATTCATTCTGACTGAAAATATTGAACACTATAATTTTCAGCTGCTAGATGGCAATCGAGTTTTATGGCATGCCGTTGTGTCATGTAATACAGTAGGTAAAAGTGGCTATAAATGACACAATCAGCTTGCCACAGCCTGCCACCTTCATCCACTTCGCCTGGAGCAACCGTCAAATCAGCTTCATTTTGCTGCGCCGCCCCGGTGAAATGCAGCTAATTTGACCACTGAATTGCATTTATTAAGTAAAAGTTCAACTGAGACACACCTTTGCTATAAAGCTGAGCAAGCTAATAATTGTTTTAGGAGTTTATCTTGTTAAATTTCGAAGAAATGCGCGGCCTTCCTTCCTGATTTCCTCCCCCTGCGTGCTCCCGGAGCACCGAGGCAGCGAATGCTTTTGAAATGCAGCTGATTTGACCGTTAAAGTCCTTTTATTAAGTAAAAGTCAAACTGAGACACACCTTTGCTATAATTTAGAGCAAACAAATGTTTTTAAGTGTTAATCTTGTTAAAGTCCACCCGTGCATGCTCCTGCGGCCGCCATTTGGCAGCCAATCGATTTTTGGCACAACACCGGCCCACATTTCCGGATTCGGCCCATATTTCCGGGTTGTCAGCGGTGACGCATAATAGATGCGACATATATTGCGAAGCGACATATTTATGGATTTTTCCACTTTATTAGACATATTTGGACTGATGCGACTTACAGGGTGTTGCGACGTGTATGGCAGAAAATACGGCACCTCCCTCACTCATGGTTACTCAACTGATTGCTCTAACACAAACTAACGCACAATGAACATTTAAACTAGGTTAACAACTCAATTCAGTTCTGTTTATTTATATAGCGCCAAGTCACAACAGAAGTCATCTCAGGGCATCGAACAGAAACATTCATATATAAGAACTAGGGCTGGAAAATACAGACCATAAAGTAATAACAAAAATAAATGTCTGACTCAAAGCTTTGTCCTAGTTGTCACACTGGCACATATAGTAAACAGCTGTAACTGTACAAAATAAATCTCTAAAAAATAAACTACATATATTTCGGTAGTTTATTTTTTAGACCTTTATTTACATATATTAAATAATAATCCTCTTCAGCTGCACTGCCTTCACGATGTTAGTAAGCATGTGTGAACTGCAGCTCCAGCTCCGACAGACTTCAGCCTCCTTCCCTGAGACAAACCATGGGTCAAAACTCATTTAGCCATGCCGTGCCTTATGAGAGGAACAGTGAGGTGGTGCAACATTATTAAATCAGCAGTTTATCATATAGCTAAAGACAAGGTCCTTAGCGGCTAACAAGAAGGGCTAACTTTAGCTGTCTTGTTCCACAGTTGAGACTGGGACCATGTCTTTAGCTATATGATAAGCTGCTGATTTATTAATGTCGCACCACCTCAATATTCCTCTCATAACACACAGCCTGGCAAAATGAGTTTTATACCGTGGTTTGTTTCAGGGAAGGAGGCTGAAAACACAGTCTGAGCTGCAGCTTATAACTTAACTTATAGCTCTGCTTTAAATGGTGAAAAAGAGTCGTAGTTCCGACATTTTGTCGGAACTTGTTTTCAGCATTGTCTACAGAAAACGTTTTTCTGTTGCTCATCTGACAATTTAAATCCAAACAATCTCTGAAATAACAGCCATTGTTTTTCTTTTTGCTCAGCAGCTAAGCTGCTCTTCATATCTCCCATATTTACTTGTTGTGCTAAACGTCTCCCGCCCACCTGGAGAAGCAGGAAGTGGGGGGAGCGTGCGCAGCTGAGGGGCTGTGTTTGTATTCAGTGAGGGAGAAGGAGGGGCCGCACAGGAGAATGAAGACAGCAGGTGGATTTTCAAGTACAGTATAACACAATATCGTTTATATCGATATAGTCTCATCTTATATCGCAAATGAAATTATCTTGATATTTTTTAAATATCAAGATATTGCCAAGCCATAATAAGAACAGACTAATCACTAAAGGAACAATGCTAAACAGCTAACCAAAATGATCAACAATGAACATAATTGTTACTCATAATCCTTCCTTGAGGCCATGTGACCGACAGTCAACCACAGACAAATGCTACAATACGTACTGGTAACATACACAAATACATACAGTAATAAAAAAAATTAATAAAAATTTTCTAAACAGTGCTGGTAACACAGCTGGTAAAAAAATAAAAAAAATACAGTAGCCTACCAGGAAATCATTGATAGCTATATTCCTTTAGCAGCAAGCTTGTGTTCTGCAGAGCAGGAGTTGCTCTGTGAGCATGTGAGACTCCCATGCTCTGTGCATGCAGGGGAATTCCCCCCACCTGTTCTCTCCTCCCTTCCCCGTTTCATTGGTTTGAATGTGACCCGTTTGGTAACTTCATTGGTCAGATTTTTGTTTTAACCTTTGTTTATACAGGTAGTCTCACTGAGTCACGAGGACCCACCCCTAAGAGAGACGTGTATTGGGCAGCTATGTGAGTGCCAGAGTGTGATAAAGTTAAATGTTTTTGGCGGCAAGAAGCTCATTAGTCCATCATAAATATAAATAAAAAAATCCATAAATCAGCCGAGGCATTGTATAAGCTGCTGCGTTCAAAGCCTGTGAATAAAGTAGCAGCTTTTAGACCTGAAATTACAGTAAATTGTTGCATAAAGCCTGATTTTTCCACACAAAATTTAGTCTGAGACTGAAGAAAATGTTTAGAGACATTTGCGCGTCACTTTACCTGCATGTCCAGAATGGACGTGGCTCTTCATGTCATTCTCTTCCATGCAGACGTAGTCACAGACGTTGCAGCAGAGTGAGAACATCCACTGCTCCTTGTCCACATGAAGCGACATGTGGCTGACAAACTGGGCATTCAGCTCCGTCTGGAAACCACACACATGGCAGCTGGACGAGGAACAGACAGACAGAGGGAGGAAAAAAAAACGTGGTGAGAAAGAGACGAAGGAGGCAGTCAGATTTAGCGTTATATTTTGCCTGCATAAATTAGCAAATGTCTGCTACTTTCCTTTCAGTCAGATTAAGACGCCTGATTGAAAACGGTAAAATTTGCAACATTTTCTACTGTAAAAGTGTAGAATGCTTTTTTTTTTTATAAACTTCTTTTTGTTGCAGAGTTAGAAGAAAATGTTCAAAACTGTTAAGTCTGTAAATTATTCTTATAATGTTACAGTTACAGGATTAGTTTAGTTGTATATAAAAACAGCTGTTTGAATTACACAGACAGATCAAAATGTCACTGATGTGCCTTTTGTGGGCTGTTTTGTGAGGTTTGCTAAATAAACCATGAAGACGAGACGTCACACGAGAAAAACCACCAGCATTTTCAGACATTGTTTCTGTGTGCAACGAGCCAACAGATGTGCACACAAGTTCAGTTTGGAACTTCAAAGTTGCCAGAAAGCTTATTTTCTGTAACATTTAGACAATCTGACTTGAAAGGAGAGTTTAGTGTTGTCTAAAAGTTCTCAATACCTTATCAGCTGTGACATCAGTCACAGAGAACAGATATTAAAATGGTAATCGTTTTATTTATTGCATAATCTTTGTGCAAAAAGGAAATAAAAAGATTTTTAAAACTAAATTGTCAAACGATTTGTTTAAGGCTTTATGGATGAATCATAAAAACCAGAAACACAACAGCAAAAAATAAAACTAGAAAGTTCCTGGAGAAACTTTGATGGGGACTGCCACGTGGCGGCCATTTTAAAGTTTTAATCTGACAGTTCTATGTGTTGGGGTTTGCTCTCAGCTACTATCACATCAAATTTCAACTCAAAGTGGCAAAAAAAAAAAAACAATTTAATTACTGGTATAGTCACTTTTTCTTTTAAGCTAAGATGGCCATCATGGATTTTTGATTTGGATTCAGTATGTGATGGGGAACATTACCAGCTATAACTGCACCAAATTTAAGCTCTATACGTGTAAAAATAGCTGAGTTAAAGCCATCTTGATTTTTTTTAAATTCACTATTTATTGGGCACTGCTCTTAAACACACCAAATTTCAGCTTCATAGCTCTAAAAATGGCTGATTTACAGTACTTTTTCTTTTTAGCTCAGGCCGCCATCTTGGTTTTTTGATTTACAATCAAAGTCTATGAAAAATGACAAATAAAAATTGTGTCTGTTTGCAAATTACGTTGCCATGGTAACTCGAAACACATCACGGCGCTGAGCCAGTCATTTTAATATAAGATTTGTGGGGTGACACGTTGCAGTTTGGGCTGCATTAAAGTTGACAGAAGAGCAAGATATAAAGTTAAGAAACACATGTCAGGTGGATAATAATAAGTGGCTGCCTTAATAGGCAGTTCCCAGTAAAATTATAGAATTACCTAGCACCAAACATTTTACCAGCTTTATGTCCCTTTCTAAATGATATTACATCGTGATGAGTAGGCGCAGAGATTGTGCCTGGCCTGTGATCCCCACCTGTAGTAGTACGGGCAGTTCTTGCGCTCAGCGGAGTCAGCTGTAACGGCGCTGATGATCTGCTCAGCATCCGTGTTCACCAGCTTGACAGAGTGGATGGTCAGGTGCTGATTGAGGTTAGCCCTGCACTTGGCAGCGTAAGAACACAGGTGACACTTGTACTTCCTCTCTTCTGCAACACAACACACACACACAAGACACTGGTTGTTAGTGTGAGCATTTCCAAGGGTGATATTTTGTGAAGTTGTGCTCAGCCTCAAAGATTCAGCAGAAATTTTAAACCCAACTAGAGAAATTGCATTTCCTGAAAAAATGCAATGTGAATGCTTATTGCAAAACTTGCTGAAAAACAGCTGAAATTAGCTAAAACTCATTCTGAAATGTAGCTGAAATGGAAGAACATGCTTAAATTTGCAGAAGAAAGCAGAAAGAACACATTTTCTGAATTAAGTTTAAATAGGCAGAAATGAGCACAAAAAAATGAAATTAGCTAAAAAAAAAAAAAAAAAAAATGAAATTAGCAAAAATAGCTGAAAAGTAGCTGAAAAGGAAGAAAGGAGCTTAAACTACCAGAATGAAGCAAAAAGAGCTGACGAGTTAAAAAAGGTGGAATTAGCTGAAAAAGCCAAAATGAGCATAAAACAGCTAAATAGTAGCTGAAATAGCAGAAACAAGCTGAAAGGAGCATAACAAGCTGAAATTAACATTAAGAAGTTAATTAGTCTGGAATTAGCTGAAATTACTACGAATACATTAAGTTATCTGAAAACTGCTGAAATTAGCTTTAAAAATGCTTAAAAGGAAGCTGAAAAGGTAGAAAAAGTTAAATTATCATAAAAAAGCAGAAGGATCATGCATATCCAATGAGGAAGCAAAAATTAGCACAAAAAAATGGAAATTACCTAGAAAACAAAAACAGCGCTGAAATTAGGGGGAAAAAACAGCTGCTAAAAAGAAGAAATAAGCTGAAATTACAAGAAGGAAGTGGAGAGAGCACATTTTTGCTGAATTAGGCTGAAAAAAGTTTAAATGAGTGTAAAAAATGTGAAATTGGGTGAAAAGGCTTAAATTAGCATAAAAACAGCTTAATGGTAGCTGAAATTGTAGGAAAAGCTGAAAATTGCTGAAATAAACTGAAAGGAACATAAGCTGAAATTAGCAGAAGGAAGTTAGAAGAGGCACAAAGATGTTGTAGGTAGCAGAAAGAAGCTGAAAATTGCACAAAACAGCTGAAATTGGCTGAAAGTTGCTGAAATAAAGTTTAAATTTGCACAGGGAAGCTGAAGTAGAACAAAATGTGAAAGGAGCAGTAAAAGGTTGTAAACAGAGCTAAAGATGTGAAGGAGGTAAATAGAGCTCAGTTAATTTTCTATGAGAAAAAAGTGTCAGAAAAGGCTAAATATTTCAAAAAGCTAAAGTTGCACCAATACCAAAAGTCAAAGCAGGATTGTCCTGAAAGAGCTCAACGTTTTGATAAATGATTTGTTGAAACAGCACAAAAACTGTGGAAAGAGAATCACGTCAAAAAACGTACGGAAGAAAAATGGATGACAACAGTGTGAATGCTTCATAAACATTCACACTGTTACTGAATGCTGGATTCCATCTCACCTTTGATTGGCCTCGACTGTAAATCAGATTCTGACAGGATGGAAAAAATACAATAAATTGTGATGGCTGACATAAAACAAAAAGATTTTTTTTTGTAAATGGCAGAAAGAGGTGAATAAATAAATGTAAATTCATACATACATGCAATAAACACAATTCTCCCCCTTTTTAGTGAGCAGTATAAAATTAATGCAAAAGCATATCTTGACATAACACATTTGACCCCCCCCCCCCCCACACACACACACACAGTACAAAAAACACAGACAAGAACACACACATCATTTGCCCCAAGGACATGAAGCCAGGCAACCTTTATGTCGCCGGGGAAACCAAAAAGACCATGACACTGACATATGCCCCTGCTTGTGCTCTCTGTGGTGTGGCCAAGCTGTTCACAACCAACACTCTCAGATGGTGCGTGTGTGTATCAAGTGCACATCCAAACTGTGCAAGCATGTTCAACTGTGGGGGTGTGTGTGTGTGTGTGTGTGTGTGTGTGTGTGTGTGTGTGTGTGTGGGGGGGGGGGGGGGGGGGCATTTGTATATAGTTCTCCATTTGTGGGCTCAGGGGTTTGGTCTGTTCCATTTATTTCACGTCTGGAGTTAATTGGTTTTAAACAATTGTAAGAGCAGATTATTATTAGATTCTTTTAGTAAACGAGGGTCGGGGGGGTGGGGGGGGGTGGGCAGAGGAAGACAGGGATGGGGATGGACGGATCAATGGTGAGTGAGGAGGGACCAGGCCAGGAAACGCAGCATAATCAGGTCACAAGGGAGAGAGGAAGCTTTGCATGTCTGCGTGCGTGAGAGAGAAACTGAAAGATGGAATTAGTCGTAGCAGCAACGGAATTACAAGTATGTGTGTTTGTACACCTGGTTTTGTGACCTTCGTAGGACATTTTCTGGTAAACACGTCTACCGTGTGGTCCTTTTGGGGACCAAAGACTGATCCAAATGTGGTGGAATGTCATTTTTGGGGGTTAGGTTTATGCTCGAGTAATGAATGGAAGCCAATACATGGTCCTAATATGGATAAAAATACAAACGTGTGTGTGTACGGCATCCTTCAAGATGGCTAATTAGACGGTAGTTTTCCCAGTGAGACTAATCATGATAGTAATCTCCTTAAAGGAAGGGTAATGTAGTCTGGTCAACCTTATTTATAGCAGGCAGCACAGACTCAGCAGCTAACATCTGTGCAGCCGAAGTTTGGCTATGATTTTTACCTGTGTGCAGCGACAGGTGTCTGGAGAGGGTCTGCTGTCGACCAAACACCTTGCCGCAGACTGAACAGGGGAAGAGCTGCTCGTGTAATCTCCACTGGGCGATTCCATTTCCCGGCTCGCTGTCGTCCTTCTCCGAGTCTGAAACGCACACAGACAGCTGTACCAAACACACAATCAGAGGTAATAACAGCTAAACATCGCAGAACTGCACAGTCAACTGCACTTAACGTGGATTTAACGTGAAGAAATGTGCATTTTCTGCTAAACTGTACCGTGAATGCTGAGTACTGACTGAATTTACTGAAGAAACTGAAACTGACTTAATAAAACTAAAAGAAGCAGAACACTAACAAAAAGCTAAAATATTAAAATGATAGCTAAAAATAACTAAAGTAAAAAGGTAAAATAGTAAAACTAGAAGCTAGAAGTTAAAAGTAGCAAATTTCAAGCTAAAAACTGCAAAAAATTATCTAAAAGTTAAACGCTGCAAAAAGTTAGCTAAGAGCTAAATGTAGCAAATGGGTACCTAAAAGCTAAAAACAGATGAAAAGAAAAACACGTTGGAATAAATTTCAAAGAGAACAATGTGTTTTTTTAAAGCAATTGAAGAGATCTTAATGTATTTCTACATGGAAAATATTGATAAGTTGAATACTTTGATATACTAAAGTTACCCAAACAATGCCATAACACCCATCTCCTGAATGAGCTGAACATTTTGATGTATGAACAGCTAAAATAGCAAAAAGTACACAGAAGTTAATTTGCATCAAATGCACGGATAACTAAAACACCAGGTAAACAACGGTGTAAATGCTGAGTCAGCTTTTACACAACTATAAAATATAAAGTAGTGGGGAGAGATGGTGCAGACGTTAAAGAAGGTGGGCTTGTGAGGTCACCGGTTCAACTCCCCGGACCGACAACATCTAAATGTGGGTGGGAAATTTGAAACACCCACGCCTGCCTCCACCATCATTTGCCCCACTCTGGGCCTTTGAGCAAGGCCTTTACCCACCACCATCTGCTCCCCCAGGCGCCCTAGTTCTAAATGGAGGTTTTACAAATATTTCCATTCCCTTAAGGTTATAATGACACTCTTTTTTAACAAATTTTAATTGAATATTTGGGGGTAATATTTTTATGAGCTTTATACAAGACGTAAAATACTATAATCAACCAAATCATAAAATTGTTATATTTTCAACTGATGAAATAATATATTTGTTGGGTGACCATAGCACTTCCTACTAATAATTCTTATAGCTCTTTTTTGTAAAATAAAAATAGGATTTGTAATTGTTTTGCATGATTTTCCCCAAACTTGAATACAATAGATTAAATATGGAACAATCATAACATTATACAATAAATATAAAAACAACAAAGTCCATGCTCATTGATATTGTATACCTGGATAATTGAGCATGGACTTTGTTGTTTTCAACCAGTTTGACACGACTGTCAACAAGGAAGAGGGCCGGCAGTGGAGGAGGAGGCGTGACATAGAGACCATCTTAGCACCAACAAAACTGGTTTGTTCCACTTTGGAGTAAGCTGTTGGGGGAAGAATCAGTTTTGTTGTGCATTTCCTCGACTGATGAAGCCTTCCAGACCGAAGGCGAAACGTTTCAGCACAAAAAAAGAAACTGTCCAGATGACCTGACTGAAAAATGTTGGAATAAATATAAAGCTTTGTCATTCAAAAACTCTTTTACTTCATCCAGTAATGCAATTGATTTTTCTATTTTTATTTTTAAGATTATGAGATTTCCATGTCAGCTTCTCATCAATAACGACACCCAAAATTTTTATTTCATTAACTATGAATTTCAATACAGTCAATTTTAAATGGGACTTCAATGATTTTATTTCTATGACTAAATATCATGTAGTTTGTTTTTCCAAATTTAATGATAACTTATTAAGTTGGAACCAAGTTTGTATTTTTATGAATTCTGCCTGTATCATCGCTAACATCCGTTCAATATCTTCACCCGAACAAAAAGAAAGTGGTATCATCTGCAAATAAAACATTTCAAAAGCCCTGACACATCAACCAGATCATTCACATATAAAATAAACAACTTATTTTTTCAGTTGTTCAAGGACAATGGTGTGGTCAGTAGTGTCGAAGCCCTTTTTTAAATCAACAAAAATGCTAACACAATACTGTTTTTGATCAGCAGCATTTGTTATCTCTTCTATTAGTTCCACGAGAGCCATTGATGTTTAATTATTTGCTCTAAACCCATACTGATTATCACTTAAAATATTATGTTTATCTATAAATCAATCTAATCTGGTCACAAATAATTTCTCTAATATTTTTGAAAATTGTGGCAATAAGGATATAGGTCTGTAATTAGTGAACACATGTTTCTCACCATTCTTATAAAGAGGAACTATTCTTACTATTTTCATATTTTCTGGAAATTTTCCTGTTGAAAATTATAAATTACGTATATATGTAAATAGTTCAATAACATAGCTCATATCCTTTACAAACATAATGTCCATGATTCATCCAGTCTTTTGATCTTTTATCTTCAAGATTTTTTACAAACCGGATTCCAAAAAAGTTGGGACACTAAACAAATTGTGAATAAAAACTGAATGCAATGATGTGGAGATGGTAAATGTCAATATTTTATTTGTAATATAACATAGATGACAGATCAAAAGTTTAATCTGAGTAAATGTAACATTTTAAAGGAAAAAAATGTTGATTTAAAATTTCACGGTGTCAACAAATCCCAAAAAAGTTGGGACAAGCAGCAATAAGTGGCTGGAAAAAGGAAATTGAGCATATAACAAACAGCTGGAAGACAAATTAACTCTAATTAGATCAATTGACAACATGATTGGGTATAAAAAGAGCTTCTCAGAGTGTCAGTGTCTCTCAGAAGCCAAGATGGTAAGAGGATCGCCAATTCCACCATTGTTGCACAGAAATATAGTGCAGCAATACCAGAATGGTGCTACCAAGAGTAAAATAGCAAAGACTTTTAAATTATCATCATCAACCGTGCATAACATCATCAAAAGATTCAGAGAATCTGGAACAATCACTGTGCGTAAGGGTCAAGGCCGTAAAATTCTACTGGATGCTCATGATCTCCGGGCCCTTGAACGTCACTGCACCTCAAACAGGAATGCCACTGTCAAGGAAATAACAGAATGGGCTCAGGAATACTTCCAGAAAGCATTGTCAGTGAACACAATCCACCGTGCCATCTGCCGTTGCCAGCTGAAACTCTACAGTGCAAAGAGGAAGCCATTTCTAAGCAAGCTCCACAAGCTCAGACGTTTGCACTGGGCCAGGGGTCATTTAAAATGGAGTGTGGCAAAATGGAAGACTGTTCTGTGGTCAGATGAGTCACGATTTGAAGTTCTTTATGGAACAATGGGACGCCATGTCAACTGGACCAGAGAGGACAAGGATAGCCAAAGTTGTTATCAACGCTCCGTTCAGAAGCCTGCATCACTGATGGTATGGGGTTGCATGAGCGCTTGTGGCATGGGCAGCTTGCATGTCTGGAAAGGCACCATTAATGCAGAGAACTATGTTCAGGTTCTAGAACAACATATGCTCCCATCTAGACGTCATCTCTTTCAGGGAAGACCCTGCATTTTTCAACACGATAATGCCAGACCACATTCTGCAGCAATCACAACATCATGGCTACGTAGGAGAAGGATCCGGGTACTGAAATGGCCAGCCTGCAGTCCAGATCTTTCACCTATAGAGAACATTTGGCGCATCATAAAGAGGAAGGTGCGACAAAGAAGGCCCAAGACGATTGAACAGTTAGAGGCAGGTATTAGACATGAATGGGAGAGCATTCCTATTTTTAAACTTGAGAAACTGGTCTCCTCTGTCCCCAGACGTCTGTTGAGTGTTGTAAGAAGAAGGGGGGATGCCACACAGTGGTAAAAATGGACTTGTCCCAACTTTTTGGGGATTTGTTGATGCTATGAAATTTGGAAACAACAGATTTTTCCTTGAAAATGATACATTCTATCTGTTTAAACTTTTTATCTGTGATTTGTGTTCTATTCTGAATAAAATATTAGATGTTGGCACCTCCACATCATTGCATTCAGTTTTTATTCACAATTTGTTTAGTGTCCCAACTTTTTTGGAATCCGGTTTGTGTAAGACTTCACAGGGAAAAAGCTAAAGTGACCCACTGATGGCTGATTTGCAAAGCTACAAGTCTGAAACATGTCTGCCACCATTTGACAGATGCTCCTCATCTCGCCTGCTGAGGGTAAGCAGTTTAAATGTATTCTTAATGCTAACATCAGACAGTGGTCCTTTACTCTGTAGCCTGCAGCCAAGTATACCACTGAAGGTCTTACAGTACGCCACCCTTTCCTTTATCCAATCCCAATAGAGCAAAAGAACGAGACAGTACGTGTGCAGATGCTTGAATAAACTCTGAAGGACTGAAATTGCTGCTTTAAATGAAGCCTCAGCCTCTGAGGAGTGTAGTAATTTACAAAAAGAAAATATAGTTATTTTCTCTATTGTGCTGCACAACTTCCCCCAGTTCAATAAAGACTTTATTTTCCATCTAAACTGTTCAAGCAGCACAGTCTGGCCTTGAACCAGAGAGGAAAATTGTGTTCTTCAAGTCATTTGAAAACACTGTAATTAAAAAAAAAGATGAGGTATTTGTGGAGGTCTGAACACCTCCATAAGGAAGAGCAAATAGTTTTTTTTACCAGCATTTGGGGGCAGGTTTTGTGGCAAGTGCTAAAGACCAGATGGTGTTGTGTGAAGACACTCAGCTGCTGTCGCACTGACTCACACAACCTTGAGTTTTTTTCTTTCTGTCCAACCACATAACTTCCTTTTTGCCCCCTAAATACAAACTAAAGGCTGCAACGTACACCACAAGAACCAAGAAATTTGTGCTGCAACCAACCTCCGTTTTGGAGTCCTTGAAGCTCGTTGACACATCATCTGCGCACAACTTTTTCTCCCAAGAATATTTTTCCAATCGGTCAGAAATCGAAAATGGGGCCGTGAATATAAAGCAGAACGTTTTGTTTTCAAGAGCTCAGGAAATCTAACTCAGTTTCTTTGTTCTTGCAGAATATGCAACAAACTGTTTTTGTTAAAACTGATT